ATATCGTGACGCGTATTTGGCTAATGGCGTTAGTTAAAGAAAAAAGGTTGATATAGTTGTTTGGTTTGGTTTCTAATTGAAAAATATTTATTTAGAATTTCCGCAAATACAACATAACTAACCCGCAAGATTCAATTTAAAAGTTTCCTTTTGTTTTAAAATTTACTAAATATCATCTCAAATTGAACTTTTAAGTTTGCAAAAAAAGAGCAATATACTTTTCTACCGGGCTATTCCTTTGTAATCTTTGTTTAGAGGACCACTAGTAATGATTCATCTTTAGCGGCATTTCTAATTTTCCTGAGGTATTCCAATGTGCTGAATTTAAATTTACTGGTTTTTACATTATGGTAAAACATTTAGATTAGGGTTTTAAAATTTCCTTTTTAAGGAAATAGTTTGAATTCTTGTTCTTTCCAAAGAATGTTTTAAATCTTGAATAAAAGCTTTTCACATATTTCGATAGAATTCTAACTGTGGTTTCATGAAAAGTCACTTTTTAATAAAGATTCTTTTTTATATAGGTAGGAATCTATGAAGGAGTATCTCCGCTCCTCAAGCGCTCTTGATGTACTGCTAATTCATAGGTCGATCAGATATACCAGCTATTTCCAGTCTAAATAGCAGATTCATGTACAATTTTAAAATAGTAGAGGTTGCTATTTATATGTCGGGTCGAGGCAACACTAAGTACTGCCAACTGACATCTGACACTTGCACTGGAAAGTTTGGCATTTTTAAGCATATGCTCACCCAGAACGTTTTGACGTATGAGCATTATTTGTGTTATTTACACTGGCTTAAAAAATTTGGCTCGGCCAAAAAATTGAATTGAACAGTGAACACATTCGTGCGATAATTTATCATAACTTTTGATGTGGATTATCAAGACAAATGTATATTGATGAACTTAAGTCGTTATACGGAGATCAAGCACCATCTTTTAGCATCGTGTAAAATTGGTGCAATGAATTCAGTCGTACTCTATGCTTTCTCCAGGAGGAATTCCGTAAATGTCACTCAAAATGGGCTGTTTTACCAGAAACCATCGATGCTGTGCAAAAAACTTATAAATCTAGATCGTCATGTGAGATACCGTGAGATTTGGGCATGATTGGGCATTAGTATGACAAGCTTCAATAAGATACTAGATGATTATTTAGCTGTAAAAAAATTCATTGTTCGCGTTGGATCCCACATAAGAGGCTCGTGTCAATTGATGCAAAAAAATGTTAAAGCAATGGGATCGCGGTGTATTAACTGCTATGTATAACATCTATACAGGCGACCAAACATAGATCTATGCAAATGAGCCCGAAACGAAACAGCAATCGACTAGCATCATTCTTTATCACGATAATGTAAGCTCACATACATCACCATACACCACGGAGTTTTTGATTGACCAAAACATCGAATTAACGGGTCGTTCACCCCACAGTCTTGATTTGGCACGTAACGACTTCTTTTTATTTTTGCACATCAAAAATAAATTGTGTGGTCAACTATTCTCAACTCCTGAAGAAGAGGTTGAAGCTTTTCAAACATGTTTTAGATATACCTCAATCTGAGTGAGAAAAGTGCTTCGAAAATTGGTTCAAATGCATACAAAGTGTATTGATTTTTATAAAGAATATTTTGAAAAGCAATAAGAAAAGCCATTTCTGACCATAAATACTTGTTTTTTCATTGTTAAGCCAAAAATATAAATAGCAATCTCTCGTTAAGTTAGCCTTTTTAGGACCAGCGCCCCAACCATCGTCTAATGCATTTCTACAATGAAGCGAATGCAAGTCTGCCACATGCCCTGCTTGTTTATTTGACTGACGAATAATAAATAACTTTTTCAATTACTTTAATATGACGCTTTTGATTAAAATGTTAATAGCTCACAAATTATCAACTGTAATATTTACCGCCATTCATGTTTATTGTTTGTTAATAAATTTTTATCACCAGTTGATAATTATTCACTTTATATTCTTCCATATTATTAATTCCATAAAAATCAGGAAATTGGAATACTTGGGGCACATCATGAGAGGTGAAAAGTACGAACTACTAAGGAATATAATGCAGGGTAAAATCAAAGGCAGAAGAAGCGTAGGAAGACGTAAAATGTCGTGGCTACGCAATCTCCGTGAATGGTTTGGATGCAGATCAATTGAACTATACGATTTCCAATCTCCGATAGGAGTGGAACTTAAAGAAGAAGAAGTTCCATCAATATGAATTCGGCAAACAATGGTCAAAAGTCAAACAACCATTAGTAGTCTAGAATATTCATTCAAAACATTATTGGATTGTAAATAATTTAATCACAAAATTTTGCGCATATTATCGAGGGATTCATACATTTTCGCAAACTTTAGGTAACATTTTTGTTTCGTTAGTTGGCTGATTCTTATCGCAAATGAAACGACGTTGTAGTAATGTCGCTTAACATAACTATTTAACGTCATTATCTTTTTGACGTAAAATATTATTTGTACTAGTTTATCGTTTTCGGAACGATGTAATATGAAATTTATTCATAAGATATTAAGTTTAAAATTATTGTTAACTGTGATTTAGGAATGAAATGTGACGAAACATAATATACATCATGAGGTTACGCTTTTACTTCAGTTTTAAAGTAGTCCATGCGGGATCTGTGAAAAAGCAGACCATATGCTTAATTCTCTTTAACAAAATCTGGAAAAAACGAGGGCCCATAACTCGAAAGATATTGCTCCCCCAAAAATAGTAAAAGTGTGTTAAGGTTTCATTTTTTAATTTTACATAATATTTGACTACGAATAAATTAAAAGTTTAATGTCTGCTGTTAAAAAATAGTTATAATTGGGAAAACAAGTACAAAAAAAAAGAGTTTTTCCTTTAAATTTTTTTGGCCTCTTAACATAGGTAATAGGATTCATATTTCGCCGAGAAAATTTTTAAAATATGACTGAAACCTGTGCTAAATTTCGTTAGGATCGGTTTAATAATTTCTGTAATATTAATTTAATAATTCTGCAATTCTGTAATAAATAATAATAATTTATTTAAAAATTATTCTCAATATTCTCAACGTTTAAAAAAATGCCTCAAGATTTCAAACGCACTTTGAAAAATTTAAATCGGTCAAGTGGAAAAGCCTAGGCAATTTTTGATAGTCGCTCATGAGGTCCTGTAAGGAACAGTTTTTCGTAAATTAGCCAACTTAATTGCTTTTCATCTTGGGATTCCCAGCATCTTAGATCGACCGTCCTATACAGTGAAGTCCAAAAATCCTCTATTGGACGAACCTGCGACAAGGTTGGAAGATTATCGTTTTTGGGAACAAAAGGTATGTGGTATTGACGAAGCCAGTTTTATGTATCTCTTAGTAATGACATGATGCTAGGTCTGGCCAAACATGATATCGTCATTAGTATGATGTTCGTGAACAAACAGAAGCAATTTAGAAAGGCAGTTATTAATATAGCCCTGACTATTCAAACCTTCACCACTCAGTCTTCCTTCAAAAGGTCGGGATACACCCCTGTTAAAAATTTCGCAGCAGACAAGGATTTTATTTGCAAATTTTGCTTTATTTACCATAAAGTCCATTGTTTTATTGGCAAAGAGTACCCGCCTTAGTTAAGGACAGCATCTTAATATAAAAGGGAGTAACGCTTAAGAGTATTTGGGTCACTTAAGTACAGCGCTTGTGATATTTAAGACCATTCCTCCTTAATTCCAACCATTCATCCTTCTCCTTCATTTCAAGCTGGTTGTCTGCTCAAAAATCTCCCTAACCTCTGTAATAAATGCACGTGATTTTTGACTTTTTGGGAGAATACCATGTCTAGTATTCCTTGCTATTTCAGCTTTGAACATCTTCCCAACCAACTTTTATAGAAATCTTTTCTTATCTATAATTTATACATCTTACAGCGAAAACTTCAAAATGAATTAATCTTAACTGACAGTTAACAAAGTAAACAAACTTATGTTTCCAAAAGCATTCAATTGTTAATGTTTTTGTTGATATTAAAGCCGATGCATTTTGTGCCGAAACTTATATGTATGCAAAATCTATCATTTGAAATACCGTATTCATTGACTTTTTAGCCAAACCATCAACATATTCAATATGCGTTAGCCCTATGCCTTACCCCATAAAAAATTTACTCTTCTTTGATTTCTATGAATTTTAAAAAGTATTTTTGAAGTACTTACTAAAATATAATTATTTGAAGTGATACCTATTAAGAAAATCCATAGTTTTAGGCAAGAAGTCCTTAATAGCAAGAAGTACAGAAAGTGAGTCGGAAATAATTATTGTAGCTCTATTCCCAGATTGTTTAAAGTATTGTATAGTTGTAGAAAGCCTAACAAATTGCTATGGCATTCACACTGATGACAAAAAATAATGTATTAATTAAAAAAAATTCTGATTCTCTAAGAATCTTTTTATGATGTAAGAGCTAGACCAATGTTTCCATGGTAACTTAATTTTATTAATTTAACTTTGAATGAAGAAGGTTTGTATGTAAAAAAGAATGAAAAACTTCAAGTCTAAAGCTGTAAACTAAGTTATAATTATAATCAAATTTTGTCAGATTCTGAAAAGCCTCACAAACTGGAGAAAATTTTTGAGCCTTCATAGTACTACACTTGAATGGTTTTCCTTAATAAAATAAAAGTAATTATTATTTTTTAAAGTGATACGGCTGAGCATTGATTGTAATACGAAGGAAGAGTAGTTATGAAAACTTACGGTTTCTACATTTCATAAATAAAATGACGAGATAATATTATGCCAGTCATATATTTGCAAGCTCGATTTTTATGCTATTAGGTATATTTTGGTAAACATAAACAAACTAAAAATAAATCCAAAATCTCAATGATGTCTCCAATAGATTTGAAATATTTACGAACTTTCGTGGAACTGTGGGTATTTTTATTATTTAAATTAAAAACCAGCTATCAGAAGTATATTAACAAGAATAATAATGTAAATTAACACTCACTTTCACGAATCAATAACAGAATCCAGCTAGCATCTTCAACGTTCCACATCTGCCAAACTAACCGTAAAGAATTTGTCCCAACAAAATACTATAGAGAATTCACACGACACTGACATAACTAAATCGATTACTAGAAAATGTTTTACAAATAAAAAACGAAAACAATAGTTTCTACAACCGCGAGAGATAAAATTCTGCCGGGTTTCACAAGAGATTCAAATCAAGGAAAGAGATGTTATGCGTTACTACTGTACGGCTTGAAATTAACGTCTGGTTTTCACATTTCACATGAACTTTCTTCCGGCGGCCTCCCAACAGACCATCGCATCAGTTTGTTATATTGCTTTGCTTTTGCTGCTTGCACTATCTTCGTTAACGTTACTATACATATAAACAACTTTTGAATTAGTGACGTTGATGTTAACATCGTCTTCGAACGCATGCGTGTCCGATTCGAATGTACATACTAGGGAGGAGTTGCGTAAGAATGTAATATTATGATAATAGGTTACGATGTGGTTAATTATTATTTGTTATGGATAATAATAAATACCTAGAGTTTATAGTCTTTTAGTAGCACAAAAATGTTCCATTTTTAGTGGGATGAAAATCTCACTGAGTATATCGGTCAAGGAGAAACAAAAAATGAAAAATCTATTTCAATATTTTAATAGAAAACGTTTCGTGCAGTATTTCTGGACTTCTTCAGTTCTAATGATTGTAAAGTCATAGTCAAACAAATAGTCATAGTAAAAGATGTCAAACAATGTGAAATGCATAGGTTTATGTGATATGTGATATAGACTTAAAACCAGTATAATGTTTAATATCCATTTTGATAAAATTAATAAAAATTGATATCTAAGCACTAAGGCCTACGCACACAAAAAATAACTGAGCAAAAACAGAATGAAAATGCAAAATGAAAACAAGAATTACAATGTTACAGAGGTAAAGGCATCGAGCAAAAAGACAAAAGAGGGAATCTAATCGTTATGAAAAGGAGACCAAAAAAGTTGCCGCTGATGGCGGACATATGCGGAAATGCAAATGCCCCAAATTTAAATTTATCGACAATAACAAGTAGCTATAAAATAGTTTTCAGAATGTGTCTTAAACGAGAAACTTTAAATAAATATTAACGATAACAGTGTAAAATGTGACACAATTGTTAAGAAACTTTAATATAAATAAGCTTTCATGTGACAGTTGGGACAAATAATAACATAACCCAACTAAATTTGATTTATTAAACAAGGAAAGACTCTCTTTCCTTATTTAATTTGGCCTCTCAAGATGGCACTTCCTGTCTAACAATATTTTTGCCCCCGCTGCCTTTACATTCCCTCTTTTGTCTTTTTGCTCGATGGGTAAAGACCATCGAGTTAGAATCTTTGGAGAGGGCATCACGTGACTAAAAACGACCTCACTTCGGCCATATTGTTAATATTGTTTTAAAACTTTTGACAGATCGTATATGTTTGTTTAGATTTGTTTTTTTTTGAATATTTTCAGTTTTATAATACTTTTATAGAAACTGTAATATATTGTGATAGTTCATAATAATGGTTTCTTGTTCTCAAAGTAGTTGCAGTAGCAGAAGCAATGTTAATAAAAAAATCTTCAGGAATATCATTCCACAGGTTAGTATACAAATATGTAAACAAAGTAATGGCCCGTACTTCAGAGAATAAATTAATAGTATTTGACTGTATTAATTTATCTTTATGTATAATATATCGTGTTTTTAGTGTTTACCGCTGGATAAATCAATCATAGTTTATTAAAATTGTATTGCACTTTTTTAGATTATGATTAAATCTTCTGAAAAACTAGTCATATTTGTATAGTAGTTTTAATATTATTGAGTCTGGCCCTGATGTCACCGCCATATTGGTATTATCGTTAGCCCCACCTACCTACGCCGTTTTTAATACATACGTTAATATGCTCATAGCTTTTCCATAGATTCTAACTCGATGGTGAAGGCACAGAATAATAAACAATCAGAATGCCCACTCTCCATGGAAAATTAAGTACGCGCATCTCGTACGCTCAGATGGTCCGCTATGTTTTAAAAGGAACCAGTGTTGTTTATGTGGTGTGCATAGAAAAATTAACCCGGTTTAATTGACTTACGGCAATCATAGACATAATATACAATTATATTAACATTGTTAAATATAATAACATAAATATAATATAATTAAACATAAATATAAACAATTAAGTATATAACCTCACAAATCATATGTCTGTGTTATGTGTTTCCTTGTAAAACATGGCGCGCGTGCTGAAAGACTTTAAAGGCGGCATCTGAGAGTAGGCATTCTGATTGTTTATTATTCTGTGGTAAAGGCATCGAGCAAAAAGACAAAAGAGGGAATGTAAAAGTAGTGGGGGCAAAAATATTGTTAGACAGGAAGTGCTATCTTTAGAGGCCACATTAAACAAGGAAAGAGAGTCTTTCTCCTTGTTTGACATCAAATTTAGTTGGGTTATGTTATTGTTTGTCCCAAATGTCACATGAAATCTTATTTATATTGAAGTTTTTTAACAATTGTGTCGCATTTTAGATTATTATCGTTAATAATTAATTAAAACTTTCTCGTCTAAGACACATTCTGAAAAATATTATGTAGCTACTGTTAATAATTGTCGGAAAATTTAGGCCACTTTTTTGGTCTCCTTTTCATAAGGATTAGATTCCCTCTTTTGTCTTTTTGCTCGATGGGTAAAGGTAACCTTTATCCATTAAATATTTTCACATAAACTTCTTCTTTTTGTCAATGGCCTCTTGCGTAAGTAGTCATCCAGTCGCAGGAACTTATATCTTAAATATTATAATTAAAATGAATAAAATAAAAAGCGTAATTACTTTTACTATTAATTCTGTGTATTCGTTCAGTAATCAGTTTACAATAATATTTTTTGTCGTTTTGTCATATTTAACTTACAGCGATTTTACAAGAAAAGTACAAGTTTCAAACCGCGAGAGAGCGCTACCGGCGAAACTCACAGCGAATTCTATCACTGATGTACAATATAAAAAAACGTGAAGTCAGGAGAAAAAGTAACTTGTTTTAATTAGAGCTTAATGAACAAATTTAAAAATTAAAAAAAAAAGGGCATGGAAAGTTAACTTTATTGTTAGAGACACCAAAGCAATTAAAAATCGCAACTTTTGACAGATATGGCTCGACTATTCCGAAAAGAAAAACAAAAATTAATATGGAAACCAGATAAAATATTCCTATCTATGGAAACCAGACTTTGTACGAAAAATCAACTAAGTAGATAATACTATATTACTTTATGAGGCGGAGAAGCATGACTTTTCTTGACGTGCCCGATATTACGCGCCAAACGAAGTGAGCCTCCTTTATACACACATTTCAAAGACGTTGATTTTGTTTACTCCAGCTTTCTTAATAGTCCACGTTTCAGAGAAATATGTGACAATGGGGATGCGGAATATTAGTGGACATGCAAAGCGAAGTTTCGTGGTTTTAGGTATGTCGATGACTTTCCAGGTTTTCGTTAGTTTTCCTGATGCTGGCCTAGCCATTGATTGATAGTCGTCTTATATCTTAACCTTAAACTTATAGCTTAAACCCGGGATTATTTGTTAGGTTTGCTGATTCTGACCTATCCATCGTTAGTCGTCTTATATCTTCATTACACCCGCCATTATTTGTTATTATCGATCCTACCTAGTTTAACTATCCCACTACTTTTTATTCCGGTATGCTTGTGACTTTGAGCTTTATTAAACAATAGTAGTAATAATAAATTCTCATGTATAGCTTATTTCTTAAGTTTCATATCATCGCACTCTCCTACCCAAGTACGTATAATATACGACATTTTGTCTAATCTTTGCTAACGTGCGAATGATATAACTTACCTCAGTTACTGATGCAAGTATGTAAATAAGTAATCAAATAATTTCAAAACATACCTCACCGTTTGTCCGTAATTGTCTATTGTGGCAGAATTTTCTGCATATTTCATTGTATATAACATATTGTGAGAAAAAATATACTTTATTATTTGACGTCAACGATTTTTTAAGATGATTGTTTTGAATGATGATTGAATGATTTATTGTTAAGCATCTACAGCTTAATTTTTATGCTTTAAGGATGAGAGAATAAACTTTAAAGTATAAATAAATTATGACTAAAAAACCTAACATATACACAAAATATTATTGGGGGCTTGGCTAATATTCGTTACCGACAATATAGTAATGTACCAACTGCATTCGAACCTTGATAAAAAAGCTTAAAAATTGCAACAAATAATCAAAATTACTTGTATATGACAAAAACAATACCCTGCATTGATAAAACCAACATCTGATACGTTTAATAGGTACAACAAGGTGCAAGAAATAACTATATAGGTCAACTGCAAGTGCTTTACTTGATAAACAAGGAAATATCATAGTCAATGAACAAGACAAACTGGAGAGGTGAGGGGAATATATTGAGGAACCATTTGATGATGAAATATCAAATCAAATCAAAAATCAAAAATATATTGACTGGTCCAAACTTAAATGAAATGGGAAGAGCTGTACAACTATCAAAGAATGGGAAAGCAACCGGTCCAGATGAAATTTTCACCGAAATAATTAAACTACTTGACGATAAAGACAAACATTTTCTTGTAAACCCCTTCAATAAAATATACGAAACAGGGCATACACCAATAAACTGGCTACTGTCAACATTTGTAATAATACGGAAAAAAATAAACGCTAACCAATGTAGCGATCATCGCACTATTATTCTAATTAGCCATTTACTGAAAATTTTCTTAAGAATACCGCACTCGACAATTTACAACAAAATAGAAGTACAACTAAACAAAATACTGTTTGGTTTCTGAAACAATCTTGGAACCAGAGAAGCATTAGTCAGTTTGCAGGTCCTGGTTCAAAGATATAGGGATATAGAACACCCAGTGTATATGTGTTCTATCAACTTAGAAAAGACTTGTGACCATGTCACCAATGACAAACTGATAGGAGTCTTAAAACAGGTGGGAATTGATAACCAAGACCTCCGTATTATTAAAAATGTGTATTGGCATCAATGTGCAAACATGCAAACATAACAACTGATCAGAATATAACGAAAGAAGTGAAAATACCACGTAGAGTAAGGCAGGGGTGTATTTTATCGCCTTTGCTTTTTAATATCTACTCCGAATTTATTTTCAAAGAAGCCTTAAATGAAGAAACAGGCATTAAAATAAACGAAATTCATGTCAACAACCTCAGATACACAGACGACAAAGTAAATGAACAAGAGTCGCAACTACTTATAAACAGGATTATCGAAACATGTGTTGAATATGG